ACTACGGACAATGACTGCCCTACAAGTAAGATTGGGTTTGAGGAAGTCAAAATGGCTCTTAGAAAGATGGGAAGGGACAAAGCTGTCGGTCCTGATTAAATTCCTATCACTGTGTGGTTGGCCCTAGGAGAAGAGGGAGTTAAGTGGTTGACCAACATCTTTAATATTATTTTAGAGACTGCCAAGATGCCAGAGGAGTGGAGAGAGTCCACGGTGATACCAATCTATAAGAATAAAGGAGATCCCCAACGTTGTGGTAACTACAGAGGTATTAAACTACTCAGTCATACCATGAAGCTATGGGAAAGGGTGATAGAGGCTAGGTTGAGACAAGTTACTAGGGTTTCGGAAAACCAATTTGGATTTATGCTAGGCAGGTCTACCACGGAGGCGATTCATCTACTTCGACGACTCATGGAGAAATATAGGGAAAAGTCTAGAGATCTTCACATGGCGTTCATTGACCTTGAGAAGGCTTATGATAGCGTTCCCCGAGATACGATTTGGAAGACTTTGGAAACGAGACGGATCCCAACTGCTTATATCTGTGCGATTCGTGATATGTATTGTAGATCTACTACACACGTTAGGACTACAGTTGGCGACACCGAGGCATTCCCGGTGGAAATCGGACTCCACCAGGGGTTGGCTCTTAGTCCTTACATCTTCGCCTTGATTATGGACGACATCTATTGTGCGACACCAGACGGTGTACCATGGTGTATGCTTTTCGCTGACGACATTGTCCTAGTTGCTGAAACAAAATCTGAGTTGAATAATAGACTGATTACCTGGAAGACAGCTTTGGAAGAAAAAGGTCTAAGGATCAATATTGAAAAGACAGAGTATTTATGTTCAAACTTCAGTGGGGACCAAAACGATTAAGATGTAGAAGTATGCATAGAAGGACACGTTCTCCCCTCAAAGGATTGTTTCAAGTACCTAGGGTCTATGATACATAAAGATGGGGGTGTAGATGATGATGTAACACACCGTATAAAGGCGGGATGGCTAAAGTGGAGGGCTGCTACTGGAGTTTTGTGTGACAAGAAGGTGCCTCTAAAACTTAAGGGAAAATTTTATAGAATGGCAATAAGACCAGCGTTATTGTATGGATCATAATGTTGGGCAACCAAGAAGGATCATGTAAGGAGGATAGAGGCTGCAGAAATGAGAATGCTTCGATGGACATGCGGTAGGACTCTGTGGGATATGACAATAAACTCTACTATTAGGATGTCCTTGGGGTGGTGCCTATTTCTGAAAAATTGAGGGAAGGAAGACTACGGTGGTTTGGGCATGTCCTTAGGCAACTACCGTCGGATGCGGTCAGGAGGGTAGAGTCGATTACAGTCGACGGTGCCAGAAGGAGAAGACGACCAAGGCGGAAGTGGGAAGACTACTTGAGATCTGATTTGATGGATTTAGCCCTTACCGAGGACATGACCTCTGATAGGAAAGTATGGAGACTAAAGACTAGGGGTAGTCGAGTAGTGTGGGTCACATCTCTAGGGTGTATCATCTCTGTCTTCTTTTAATGCCTTTGTAGTAATTTCCATGAATTCTACTTTTTATACGTTTCTGTTATTGGTATTTATGAAGGCTTAGAACTGGGCTTGCTATCGTGGACTTCTGTGTAATATTCTCTTCACTTTTAAATTTAGTCGGGTCTTACGTTTCTGTCTATATGCAGAGATTTTTTCGCAGGGATTTATTTGCAGGGATTACTTCCCATTTCAAACGCGCATATAATATTAATGATATTTATGACTGCATATGAATATTGTTCAACTATGTATTTATGTATTTATTTATACATGCTTTGCATTTTATCTATATTTTTAATTTTTCTAACTGTCGGAGGTCTTCCACGAAAGCTACTCTCAACCTGGCGTTGGGGGCAGCCTACTACCCTACCTCCCCTTACCCCATTGCATATGGGAATTGGGTTTTGTTGTTGTTGTTGTTATGTGAGGTAGTGTATTGGAGAGTTTGTCTCTTGTTGGCAGTTTATTCCTGATTTTTGTTTAGCCGTATTATTTGGATTGTAAGTTTATAGTTTGTTGTTGGTTTGTTCCATCCGGGTTGTACGTACTCTTTTCTTTCATTTAGGATTAGGAAAGTTTTTAATGAAGCATACAATTTGGATAAATTTTCTAATTTATAACAAGCAAAAAAAATTCTCAATTGTATTCTTTTATTAGTTTTTCTATCAATTTAATCCTTCAATTTTCATTTCATTAGCAATGTTAGTAAAATCATAAATTCCATATATACCTAAACAAAGATATGTAAATTTATAATTGATCATATAAATGAAATCATTAAATTGGTCTTGGTGGTTAAAAGGAATATATGTGTGCATTATCAATGGTGTAGAAAGATTTTGAACATATACATCACCTTACACTATTCAACAAATAATACATCAAATAAATCTCAAAACAAAAAAAATATTAAGATTCAATTATTATTCATTAACTATTTGTATATGCCAAGATTTATAGTTTTAGTTAGACGATAATAACTTTTAAAAAAACTAAATTTTGGAAAATTTATGAAAAGGAGTTGACCTCAAGATAAAAAAAACACACACACATTTGAAAAAAGTGCAGGGACTTGTCGATGCATGGGCTGCTTTGCTATTATTTTTAAATTATTATTTAAATCACACAAGGGCTGCTCTGCTATTTACCACAAAAAAATACAGTACCCGATTAGAAACATTGCACATCGACAAAAAAAATTTGAAACATGCCCAATCCATTTTCCACGTTTATAAAATGTGTTGAATTTTTATATTTCTTAATTGAAAAATTTACAATTAGGCCTAACAATTCAATACAGTTGGCTTACAGTTTGAATTTGTTTCAATTCCATCCCGATGTACTCTGCCTTTCCAACAATAGCATTTGGTTTGAAATAAAAAAAATGGTTAGATTTAATTTGATGTGTTTAAGGGGAGAAAAAATCATATACTTATTTAAAGAAAAATATTAAAATTTTAGTCTATATTTTTAAAAAATTTCGTTAGAAATTAAAGTCACTCTATAAACATGTAAGAGAACTCAGAGAAAAAGTGGTGAGCAATAATTGCAGAGGAGGATGTATTTGTAAAATCAACCAATCGAAACACCATTCATTGATTGCCAAAGTGAAAAGAAAAGCAAACCTTTTCGAAACAAGAGGATTAAAAGCTTGAAATAAAACATATGTTCTGCCAAACCTTTCTTTGTCATCAATAATTATGACTTCACTTGAACATCAATAGCACCCCCTTTTGATTCTTTGTACATTTCAAAAAGACATCCTTCCACTCTACATGTTTATAGAATGAAGAAGAGCAGTTCAACAATCTTCAAACTCTATGACAGCTAATAATCCTATCGCCTACCTATATTTTTTCTCCTTCACAATACAAAAAGGAATTTGAGTAGGAAGTAAATTCATCAACTAATTCATGTCATAAAACCCTAATTTTATTAGTAAGCAATAATAAATTAAATGATCGATATATAGATGACCCTTATTCCCATATGTAATAGGGTAAGGGGGAGGTAGGATAGTAGGCTGCCCCCAACGCCAGGTTGAGAGCAATTTCCGTAAGAGACCTCCAAATTATGAAATACCTTCCGTGAGACTCGATCCCACAACCCCAAGGTTAAGAGCCTTGTGCTCTACCAACTGAGCTGGATGGTCATTTCAAAATGATCGATATATAGACTTGGATAATTTAGAATGAACCAATCACAATCTTGAGAATTGAAAACGTATTATATTAAACCCTAGTTTTGTTTGTTTCAATTATGATCTAAAAGTTGGGGGAACATTATATTTTGATGTAAGTTTCAACTGTCTTTAAAATTTTAATTATCATATATTCTAGACTTTTATTTATATTTATCTTCTGATGTTAATTTATTTTCGTCCCGTAAAATTGATAAATTCATTCCCTTATAAAATTTAGAAATTTTCTCCTACCAAAATTTTACATGTGTTGATAAACATTAAACTTGAATAAATAATAAAAGAAGAAAAGGCGAGAAGAATCTACCAAAATATTTGTTTTAATATGCTACAACTACTAAAAATGGTCCAAAGCCATGTAATGCATGAAACCCTAATCCGGATGTGGAAAAAGACAAAAAAGGAAACGGTGAACGTGTTACCTAAGAAAATGGCCACCAGTTTTCTCCCTCTTTCTGTCCTAAATTGATATTCGTCACAAAAAATCTAGCCTAACTCCCACATTTGTATGCAATAGCTGGCTAATGCTCCAACATTTAATAATTTTGAATATTATGTAACACAATACAAACTTTAAGTATGCCATATATATAAAAGATATTTTAGATGGGATTTTTAATATATTCTATTCATATATCAATATAAAAAAATAAAATAAAATACATAAATAATCTTTGATAGAGACGGAGTCAGAATACTAACTTGAAAAGAATAAAATATATTTTTTTAAAGTAGAGAATAATTCATAATTATCTAATAAATATTTAAATTATATAATCAATTTCTAGGTTGGGGCACACTCCTTCCAAATCTTTAATAATTTCGTCCTTCATTACAATTATAAAATATTATTTTATTGAATCTTTTAATTATTTAAATTTATAGAATGATCATCTATAAATTATTATTTTATTAAATATTCAACTATTTAAAATTATAAAATAATTATTTGATTATACATATATTCCAAATTTATATAAAAGTTTTTTATCTATAATATGAATTTGATGTTACCTTACGTGTTTTAAGAATTGATACGCTTTTGTAGTTTTTGGTGGTGGTTCGTGCACCCTCGTGGTCGGATAAGGTCGGCCGCAAGATGTTAGCCACGTGGCGGGGTTTTAATGGTGATAAGAATAAAGTGGTGTTCCATTTCGAAAATAAGACAAGGACGACCGTACGCTCAACGATATTCGTTTCTTCTATTTAAATACGTTGCCCCTCCCAGCACTAGAAAAAAAATTCAAATTTTCTCATTCTATTTTCTCCCTGGCTAGAACAGCTCTTTTCTTTGTTAATCAAATTGAACTATATTTTCTGTTTGGTCGTCTAGAAAATTCTGACCATGGAAGTGCCGAAAACTGACCCATTGGCTCAATTGTTCTTGCCTCCAGGATTCCGGTTTTATCCAACAGATGAAGAGCTTTTAGTGCAGTATTTATGCAGGAAAGTTGCAGGGCATCATTTTTCTCCGCAAATCATTGGTGAAATTGATCTATACAAATTTGATCCATGGGTTTTACCAAGTAAGTTTAATCAAATCCAACAAAATGTGTTAACCTCCCTCCTTTTGCTTGTTTACTCTGGCCAATCAAAATATATATTATTTTGCATAGGTAAAGCTATATTTGGTGAAAAAGAATGGTATTTTTTTAGTCCGAGAGACCGGAAGTACCCGAACGGGTCACGACCAAACAGAGTTGCCGGTTCCGGCTACTGGAAAGCTACCGGAACTGATAAAATGATCATGACGGATGGCCGGAAAGTTGGCTTAAAGAAAGCTCTAGTTTTTTACGTCGGAAAAGCACCTAAAGGGACCAAGACTAATTGGATCATGCATGAATATAGACTCTCGGAAACTTCCCGTAAAAATGGTAGCTCCAAGGTAATATATTTTATCTTAGTTATAATTTTGGGTTTAATGCTTCAACTATCATTTTTGTTCCGTTTCGGTTACTCAACTATTTTTTGTTTTAAAATTATACCTAACGTTATATTTTAATTTCATTTTGGTCACTGTTAAAAATTCAATGATGATTTTGACGTGTCACCATAAAGAAATGTGACATCGTTATTGAATATTTTTTTTAAAAAATGCAACTCAACAGTTCTGTTATTTTTTCAACGACAGATGACCAAAACGTAATATTCGATATGATTTTGAAAAAACAAAAGTTAGGTGACCAAAATGAAACATAAGTGATAGTTTACCCCATAAATTTTGTAAATATCATCTTAACTAATGTGATGAGGCTATAGTTAACATTTTATAGTAAAATAACAATAAGAAGGAAACTTCATTAACTTGAATAATTATTGTTTTTGTTGCAGTTGGATGATTGGGTTTTATGCAGAATATACAATAAGAATTCAGGTGCTCAAAAATCATTGTCAACTGTTCCAATCAAAGAGCATAGCAACAATGGCTCCACATCCTCTTCTTCTTCCCAACTCGAGGACATGCTTGAGTCGTTCCCCGAGTTAGACGATCGTTTCTTTGCTCTGCCATTAGTGAACTCGTTGAAAACGCTTCAGAATGACCAAAAAACGGGGTTCCACAACCTGGATTGGGCGAGTCTTGCAGCAGGGCTTCCGAGTTATGGAGATAATGACCTGTAAGTTCCCACGATGCCCATGGATATGTCAACGCGTAAAGTTGGTGACTCGGTGGAAGAGGAAGTACAGAGTGGACTCAGGACTCAGCGAGTTGATAACTCTGTTCTTTTCCAACAAAACTCAAATGGGTTTATGACCCAGAACTTCTCTAGCTCGATCGACCCGTATGGATTCCGGTACCCGACTCAGCCCGGTAGGTTTGGGTTTAGGCAATAAAGAATAGAGACAAGTAAAAAGGAAGAGGGTTGGGTATGGGATAGGAGAGGAGAGGAATTTTTCAAATTTATGTAATTGTTTGGTATTTTGAATTGAAACAAAATGAAAATTTTCAAGAAATTGATGACTAGATTTATTAAATCAAGTTTATGCTTAATAAAGTTCTTTTTGTTCTTCCATCTTTAGATTTATTAAATTTATGTAATTGTTTATGGTTACTATATATAGATTATTATTATTTTATAATATTATTTTTAAAATATAAATTTAGTTTTTTTATTAAAAATATAATATATTATATCCTTGGTAAATTTAAAATTCAAAATTAATAAATTTGGAGAATCTTGGTATATTATCTTTTGGGTACCTAGCTAGATGGTAGATGCAACATTTTCTTTGTGAGACTGACAAATCATGTGAGAATGACAAAAATCTTACGTTAGACAAAATTTAATAAGAAATGATAAATAGTACAAATATATGTGGTATCTAATTTTTTTTAGAATAAAAATAAATAATTATTTAATAACTAAATTAAACTATAATCGTTAAAAAATCATTACATAAATTTAATAGGTGAGTTATGTAAATATAAACAATAAAATGATAAAAAATTTTATAACACAAAATTTATTTTAGTTTATAAGAGGAATATAATGTTAATGCATATTGGACATCAATTAAATTTTAAAAAATACATAAAAATATTGTTATAAATAATCGCACACAAAAGTGTCTTTAACATAAAAAAATATGTTTAGTGGTAATTGAGAACCTTAAACTTTTGAGAAAAAATAATTAGTATAATCCCTGACATTTTTTTTATCAAATATGATCCTTAAACTTAGAAAAAATAATCTAACCCTTAAATTGCGGAATCAAACATTGATCGTCACGAAGCTATATATGACAGTTCACAAACTTACATGGAAATCTATAATACTGATTTGATAGTTCATGATATTGTTCTGGCAGTACTCAATGGATAATGATGTGGTATATTGACTTAATTGAATATTTTAGAAAGTTTGAGGACTTATTTAATTTTTAAAAACTTTATTTAGATTAAAAATATAAACAATTATTAAGATATTCAATACATTAAACATAAAATAATACAAAATTAAATTATTAAAAAAATTAAGTTAAGGACTACATTGAGTGTAAAAAAGTTTAGGGACGATATTGATTTTTTACAAAAATTTGAGGATTTCAAATATCATTAAATCAAAAAAAAATTATTGTTAGAATGATTTAAACTCGTGTAAGTTAAGTTAAAAATCTAGATATCATATTTCCTTATTTTTTAAAATTTCAAAACAATTTTAAAGAAAATACTGAAAACATCTTTTTTATGTTTTCATATTTTCACTTATTTTTGTTTTCATTTTCCAATTTTACAACTAAATGTTTTCAATTTTTAAGAAATTAAAAATGAAAATAGCATATATTTTGTAAAACGAAACGAATCCTAAGATTTTTAACTTTTTCATTTTCAACTTTGCGTTTGGAAGCAAATTGTAATTTCACCCTTACTAATGTATGGACTCCACTCAATTATGCATTTATATTTTATTTTAATAATTTAATGCTAACATCCTTAAAAATAATTTATTATTTAATAATTTATTTTAATTATTTTAAAGAAAAAATTCATGATTTATATATTAAAATATTAATAGTGAGTTATTATAAAATATGTTTTTATTATAGTTTAAGTTGATATATTTATATTATAGTATTAATAAGTGTAAATATAATTTAAATTATATATTTTTAATTTACAACATAAGGTCTATAATGGTCATTTTATCTTTTTAAACTCATTTTTAACAACAATCTCAAACAATTAAATTTTAAGGAGTTCATTTCTACTAAAATTGAGTTTTAAAAAAAATGTGGTTTGAGGGAGTCATCACCAATCTTTATTTAGGGTGTGAATGGTGTAGACACCCATTTTGTCCGGGATATAATAATAATTATTATTATATTATTAATATTGTTTATTTTTATTTGTTGCATACCCATACTCGTTCCAGTTCCAACTCCTACATGAGGCCAGCACGCCTGAGCCACCGAATGTCATCATGGCTTACGTCAAACAGCACCTGCAAATAACACTAATTCATTAGACAAAATCCACCGAAGGTTCAAGCAAAATACCTAATCCATTACCTACCCTTGTTATTCCTACCTAATGATGCAACTAATGAAGAAAAAAAAGAAAAAGACAAAAGGGCATTCAATGATAAAATGAAGAGGCAATGATGATGGAAACAGGGGGGAAGCTCTCGATCAAAAAGAAAACATTCGAATCAGGGGAAGAATAACCGATCATCATTGAAGCTTGGATCCACAAAGCCTTGGTTTGGAATCACAAGTGGTGTTGGTGGTGGATTCTTTTAACAACGTACAGATGTTGTCCAAGCAATGAAGAGATTGACCAAGGTTGAAGTATACAAGTGCTTCTTTATAATTTCTTGTCCTTTTTGGATATCATAAATGCTCCTGTGTATAATATTACACTAAAAATATACTGAAAGAAAGGGAAGAAAAGGAGAGGTGGGATGTTCTTCCCTTCGGCCGACGCATTTTTATGGAGATTGGGACATCCATCCGACGATCGGGGTAGAAGGCTCCGTTATAGTGAGAGGAATCACATATTTAAAAACGAAGTCCATCTAACGGTGGTTGACAGTAAATTGGAGAGGAAAAGCCGAAATGTTTATCGGCCATTCCATGGATTTGAAGATCGTTTCTCACAAAACCAAGGCCGTATTCGAGCTCCCGGCGTCGAGGCAAAACTTCCCTTGAAGTTCGACGTCAAACGAACACCCGAGTGCGGTGGTGGACGGCAGTTTTCCTTCCAGTGAGAAGGTGACAACACTACCTTAATCTTTCGACTGGTCTGGAGCTGTTTTGTGTTTCAAAAGTTTTGAAATTATATGTTGCACATGCGTTTTTTAATGGTTGGTAATATTGTGCATCTAGTTATTATAATTTTGAATGAAACTTTCTTTGACTCCTTGTTTTTGAATAATTTCGTTTTTGTCCTTAGTGAATGCTTTGGTAAAAAATGATGTTTATGCTTGGGTTATTAATTCTTGCTTTTGCTTATTTTGGTCATTAGTTCATAATTTTTCTATTTAGGTCATTATCATAATTTCGATCTTGCATGATTAATTTCCTTTCATTTTTAATATAGTCACTATGCTAGAACTCGCTGAATTGTTTCATTGAGTTAAAATTTGGTCCTATAATTTTAATTTTAAATTGAATCCTTAGATTTAGATTTCAATTATTTTAGTCCTAATTTAGATTATTTTATCTAGTAGATTTAATCATTGTATTTTTTTAATTTAATCTATAATAGTGACTTTCTTTAATTAGTTGTACTTCATTATTTTGCATGGTAATATGGTTCCATGTATACAAATATGAAAATAAAGTATTTGCAAGTCACATGACATTTTTATATAAATTGTATGATAACCTCACGTGCATAACTTCACCGTATTACATAATTTGACTAAGGGTAATATCCTTTTAGTTTAAAACGTTTTAAGTGGGTTGTCTTAACTGATTAGATATCCGCTTTTAATGATTTTAAATTAAAAGTATATCCCATCAGTGACACCGAAGAAATTGATTTATCACTTTTAAAATTTGGGAACGGAAGAAAAAGAAATATTCGTCTATTTAAATTTATCGAGAAAAGATAGTTAGAACTTATCTAAGATATTGTCTCGATATTTGTAAATAATCGAATATTCTTTATCTTTCTAAAGGCCTAGTAATTTTAATTTAATCTATTTTGGTGCTTTTGAATGTTGTAAAATCCATGTGTGGTTTTTTTGGGGATCATAAACCAAATTAAAATTGAATTTGTAAATTTCATTGCAAAAACATTAATTAATCGATGAGGTACCGATTTAGGGCATTGTGGGGGTGCTAATCCTTCCCCACGCGTAATCGACTCCCGAACTCATTTTCTGGTAACGTGAACCTAAATTTGTTGTTTTAATTAAAATTAATTTTTTATTTACAATGACAAAACGTTTTTGGGTGCCTAATCACACCCTAATCAAAGGTTGGTGGCGACTCCTTGAACCATATGATTTTCTTATCGTTAAGGAATTTTCAAATTTTCAAAACTAGAGGTTTTCTAAGATCACATTGTTTTTAATTAAAATTCAATCGTAAAGAGAATAATTAAAAATGATGCGGTTTCCAAAATCTTGCCCCGCACTTAAAAATCGTTCTTGGCGACTCTGCTGGGGACTTTTTAAGAGAGTTAGACCTATAGTCGATTAATTGATTATCTTTGCTATTGAAAGTTATAAATTCGTTTTAATTTGGTTTTTGATCCGCTATTTGGTTTTAATGTTGTTTGTTCAGAATTTGATTAACCAATAAATAGTTGTAATGATCTGTTTGTTAATGGTTTCAGATTAATTATGTGTTTAAGGAGGATTGATCTTTTGAGAATATGTGTGGTTTTATTTTCGCTTTTCCTCACACACTGCACAGTTGCATTTGCATAACATGAGCTAAAACCCCGCTCCGTCCTATTTAAATAGGAGTGAGAGACTACTCCCTCATGTGGTTTTCACCTCTGCTTGGGATAGTGGATCGCTCCTGGAGCTCACGCCTTATGGTCCTCGTGATGGTATTCACCTCCGTATGGACATAAGGAGGTGTGTTCCCTCGAAATTGAACTCGGTCCCAAAAGCCTGTGATGGGCCAGGATTGAGGGTTCAGCATCCCAAGGGGGCACTGACAAGGATAGTTCGAGAACCTATTGATTTAGAACTAAACCTAGCATATAGTGAATGTAGAGCCTGAACATAGGTCAAGCTTAACCCGAACCTTAAGAATCCCGTGAGGAGGGTACACAAGGAAAAGTTTTTGAGACATTTATTTTCGCTTTTTGAATAAATGTATACGAACTAGAAATCATGCGGTTAGGTTTATTTTCTCGAACAAGCATGCAAATTAGATATCACGCGGTTAGGATTTTTTGTGAATAACAAAGCATGGGGGTATATATCATGTTGGGTAGGATCTACTAAGCATGATTGTGTAGTCAGAATGCGAGGGTAGGTTTTATTTGATATTTACGGTACTTACTATTTTGTTGTTTATCTTATGAGTACTAACCCTTTTTTTGTTTTATGTCTTTTTTATTGTGTATTTATTGCATGTGCATCTTCATGTCATTCAAAGGTGTTAATTCGCAAGTGATTGACTAATAAGAAGGCTGGTCATAATAAGGCAAGAAATTCTTAGCCATGGAGTCAAAATCGGGAGATCCAGAGACATTCAAATGATTCACGAAGAAAGACACCCGATGAATGAAGAATCTGAAGCTGATTGGAGATTTCCTTTAAAGGTACAAAGGCCGAGATGTTGACTCAAAAGGTATATGTATAGCCATACCAAGGACGAGAAGACCATTCACAAGGACGAGAAGACCATTCATAAAGACGAGAAGACCATTCACAAAGACATGAAGACTACTTTGCATTGAAAGTAAAGAAGAAGATCCTAATATTCAATTTAAGGACATCCGACGTCATCAAAGGTGATAAGATACGTTGACAACTTTGGAGGTGCAGTGCCAGATTCCATGAAGAGTACAACTCAAGGAAATGAAGGGACGAAGAATCATAATTGTATTTTGGCTACATGGTGTAATGAATTCTTGTTGTCTAAATGAAGGTTGTTCTATAGTGGTCACTTTTGGAATTAACACTTTTTCCATTTGCATTTGCATTGCATGTATTTGTTTAAGCATTTTACATGCATTAATTATGAAAACACAAAAATAACTTATGGAAGGTTATGTGATAGTAATAATAAGATCATTCATTCATTCTGTTCCTCATCATCATGAACAAACAAATGGAAGCAATTGAGCAATCTAATGAGAAATCACAAGATCAGTTGGTCGAGTTATAACAAGGTATGAGGAATCAAGCATCAGGTTCTCTGCAAGGCGCATCGAATCAAATGATCCAGGTGCTGGCACCGCAAGCCGTTGATAGAGAGGAAATGAATGATAAAGGAAATCAATGTCATCATACTAATGCATCAAGAGTGTTAATTTGCTCTGGGGCATCTAACTCAAACCAAGGGAAGAGCCTCGTCAATTATGGGCAGTTTGAGAACGAATTTAAGTGGTTGAATGAAGCCGTTAAAAATATGAAGGTTGTTAATACCACTCACAAGGAGTTAGAAGCCATAGAACTCAGTTTGGTCCATGATTTGGTCATCCCACATGAATTTAGGGTGCCTAATTTTGAGAAATATGATGGCACCAGTTGCCCCCTAATTCATCTGAAAATGTTTTGCATAAAGATGGAAGGGTTCTTAAATGATGATAATTTGTTGATTCATTTCTTCCATGATAGTCTTTCTGGTCCAGCTGTAGTTTGGTATAATCATTTGAATAAAGAGCAGATCAAGACATGGGTTAACCTAGCTGATGCTTTTCTG